AACTGAAATACACCAACAATCGATTAGTTTAAAGTTTTAAGAGATAATTTCAAAAAAGAAAAACTAAGGTATCAATTTTTATTGACCATTTGACTAAATATTTAATTTATATTTAATCGATCCAAAATAGTCATATATATATATATATATATATATATATAATTATTGTTTATTTAACTTTTATTTTACAATTGATTATTTAATTTATATTACAATAATTATTTTATAAAATTTAAATAGATATTTCATCATCCATACAGAACTTATATATCGTACATACACAATTTTAGGATCAAAGATCAAGCAATAATCACGAATCTATCTAAATATGAACAATAACAAAGGCCTTTAACTAAATTTTGATCTAAATTTTGATTTTTATTGGCCAAAAATCCATTGCTAGGTTTCACTCCTAATATTGTTTAATTTCCAGATCTCGAAGTCCAAATCTTACATCACAACTTATCTACAGAGTGTTCCAATTATATTCCAAACTTTGTCAAGCGATTTGTCCGAAGGACCTTAGGTCACGAGTTTGATGAAAAGTCACGTCAAGAATCATGTATTATATACCAAAAGCAGAGCCGATCTTATAGTTTTTGGAGTCCTGTGCGAAAGCGCTAAAAAATGCCCCTATCCAGAAAAACCACTAAATTGTTTTGGATTTGTAACAATGTTGAGCATGATGTTACCGAACAAGAAGTTCACACACAATATGTATTATAATAACATAAAAAGCTTTGCTCAATTATTTTTAATTCTTAAAACTTCATATAAATGTAAAGTAGCAACCATATTATAAAAATAATCATTTAATAAATAAAGCATAAACTACATTAACATATGGTAGAATCTAATATATGTTCTTGCTAAAACAATATTTTACGTTGATTACCAAATAGACATTTGGCCAAGTGGTATCCGAACTTTTGGCCTTCGTGGAAGTCGTGGGTTCAGACCTCAGTAAAGATGACGAGTGTGTATGAATTTTTTGGTTGCATTTGCCGTATATAGATATTATATACCTAAAAAAATTACATTGATTGCTTGTAGAGTACTATGTATGCTCAAATAGTTACTATTTGAAGCCAATTATCAAACAAAGTTTACAAGAGTCATTTTATAGAAATTTGAGTAAATTATATGATTGGTCGTTGTGGTTTACACGAAATCACACTGTATGTCCCTAAATCAAAATAATTATTGTAAATGTCCATGTGGTTTACATTTTCACACGCCTTTGGTCCCTTGCTCTAACTCCGTAAAAGAATTTATGTTAAGTAGGTTTACTAGAGGGGCATTACAGTCATTTCAGTTTTTCCATATTTTAATTAAGACTTTTAAGAAAACCACAAAGGGACCAAGAATGTAATTTTACTTTATTACAAAACCCATGTCTCCCTGACTTCCCCTCCGTCTCCCCCTCCCGCTCCCACCCTCCAAACCACTACCAATGACCATGAAAACTCTTCTCCACCACCACGAATCAAAACTTTTCCTTTCTCCGATCAACCCCGCCCTATCAAACCTACAATCAAAAGCCCTCTCCTTTCCAACCGCCACCATTCCATCCCATTTAAAAATGGTCAAAACTTGATCAAAACCCTTCAATCAAAACTAGGTGTGTTCCATCTCCATCAAGAACTCTTCAAGCGATGGATGCCTTTTATTTTGGTGTTGGGGTCCCAATAGAAAACACTAAATAAATATCACAAGTCTAATAAGATTGAACAAATTTCGTGAAGCATTTTGTTGGGGGCCTTTGACCCCTACCAGCCTCATTTGTATCCGTCCCTGTTCGACGACCCCCTTCTGCCATCCTCATCCACATCCGGCAGTTGAAACTCCATAACAAAAGGATGAACTCTGCATACACTCCATAAGAGCATCTCCAACCATATCACCAAAAAGAATACCAAAAACACTAAATATGATGGGCCCATCAATACTAAAAAAATCATCCAATCACACTCTAAAAAAAACACTAAATTTGTGAACCCGACATTAATAACTATTTTTAATAACAATAATTGTAATTTGTAATAGATATCATAATAATAAATAATTAGGTATTAATTTATTTAATGAAGATCGGTTAAAATAAAAACCACAAATTTTTAATTAATACATTTTACATTAAATTACATTAATTCAAATAGCACAAACTAAAAAAAAGCATAAATAATACTAATTTTCCGACCCACAAATGATTAGTTAATGCATTACGAAGTTCAAAGTGAGCGTCTTTATCCTTGATCTTTTTGTATCGAGCAAGAAACTATTCAAGTCCACCATTATTATCGTTCATCATCTCAATTCCTACGTCTTGCACTTCACTTCGTTTTTCAATTGGTGCATTAATATCACGTTCATCATCTGTGATCATTTTATGCATAATGATGCACGAAGTCATTATATCATGCAATATTTTCATCTTCCATAATCGTACAGGTCTTGCTACTATTGCAAACACTGATTACAATACGCCAAACGCATGTTCTATGTCTTTTCTACATACTTCTTATTTTATTTGCAACATACTGTTTTGTAGGGCCAAGTAACAATGAAGTTATGATGAGAAAGAATGAAGTTCAAGCTGAGAGAAATGCAATAGATATAAGGTTGGCGGATGACAAAATCATGTTCACCGATCTAAATTCTATCAGTGATCCTGTGTGTTATAAGTTCATAAAATATGAAAAAATTTGAATAATGAGAAAGAGAACAGAACCTGAGATTGATACGTATGGACAAAGATCAGAATATCAGAATGTCAATATCGAGCATCTCAACATCAAAAATTTGGAGAAGAAGGATTTCAAAACCAAAGTGAAAGATCTTAGAACGTAGCAGAAAACTTTCGTCACTATATGGCTAGCGAAAACCGATTGACATTTTAATTTATGTCTTAATTTTTAAATTTTTCGTTACGAAACTATATTTATCCAGTATCATGTATGTTAAATTATGTTATAAATTTGTATTTTTTGTTATTTTATGTTAATGTTAAATTTTCTTTTTCTTATTTACAATTTAAATTTTAAATATATATGTAAATATAAATTCACATGATAAATATAAAAAACAAAAAGAAAATATTTGTGTTATTTATTTATAATTTATTAAATAAAAAAAGGTAATAGATTAATTGGAATGTTGGGTGGGGACCACCTTTTTGTAGGGGCGGATGCATCAAGGACTTGTTGAGGTCCTGGCCCCCAACAAAAAAATATTTTACAAAGTCCAAATTTTTTTACTTGTAATTTTTAATTTAATACAATTGGGCCCCTAACATGATGATGTAAAAGGCCCCCCTCTTCACGCCTTCATCCCTTCCTGGTTCCTGCCCTTTACCGCTTCAGCCTTTACAGTCACACGACAGTTCACGACTTCACAAATCACGCCATTGAACAGCTCATCAATCTTCACTTCTTCTTCTTCATCAATCTTCATGGCTATAATTGTTGCCTGCTGCCCTGCTTCTTCGGTTCTTCCTTCCGGCTTCCTAGACGTAGACTGGACAGTGGACTGGAGTCACTGGATTGAAGCAACTCTAATAATTTGGGTAACAAAATTCTAATTTCCAAATTGCAGTCTTTAATTTTGTTTACTTCTTTGATTTTGTTGTTTGCTTATTGGTGATTTGGTAAATGCTTTGTAGGTTAATTTTGTAGGCAAGTTTGTAGGCAAATCAAATGGAAATATCAAATGTTAGGTTAATTTTCTAGGCAATTCTGTAGGCAAATCAAATGGAAATGTCAAATGTTAGGTAGGCAAATGGAAATGTTACTAAACCATTGATTTTTATCTTGTTATTGTTATTACTAGAAAAAATGGAAAGATTTTTTTAAAAGGAAAGCATCAACACCTGAATCGAGCTCTGCTCCTTCGATGCCCAACGAAATTGATTTGAACGATCTTCCTTGGGATCCAGCAGATAGAAATTTTTTTTTGGAATATCATCCTAATCAAAAGGATTAAATAAGAAGGAAATACTTGCTTAGAGGACCTTGTCAACTACGGGGTCATGCATTTCCAAAAAAATTTGTCGGGAGTAAAGGAAGACGTTTTTGTCTGGCTTAGTTTGATCAATATGCTAATTGGTTGGAGTATAGTGTAAAAACAGATAAAGCTTTTTGTTTGTGTTGTTATTTGTTTAGAAATCATTACGTAGGACAATGTGAGATTGATGCTTTTGTAACAGATGGTTTTAATAGTTGGAATAAAACGGAAAGACTTGGTCTTCATGTCGGCGACATTAATAGTTTTCACAATAGAGCACTTAAGAAAAGTGAGGATCTAATGAGCCAAGATCAATCTATTGTCGTTACCTTTCATAAGCAAACTGAGAAGGAGAAGAATGAGCACAGAATACAATTAAATGCTTCAATTAAGGCCTGTAGATTCTTGTTGAAGAATGCATTGCCCTTTCGTGGTCACGATGAATCTGAAATGTCTATTTCTAAAGACATGTTCTTGGAAATATTAGCCTTAATTGGTGATTGCAATTAGGATGCAGGTAAAGTTATATTAAAAAATGCTCCAAAGAATAATCAATGGTGTCTCCAAGTATTCAAAAAGATATTGCTACTTGTTTTGCAAATCAAATATTCAAATACATTCGTAAAGAAGTTGGTGATGATGTGTTCTCATTGCTGGTTGATGAGTCTAGTGACGTTTCTAAGAAGGAACAAATGACGGTGGTTTTACGATATGTTGATGCACGTGGTATTGTTAAGGAGAGATATTTTGGTATTGTTCATGTGACGGAGACATCTTCTTCAATTCTTAAATCTACCATTGATACTTTATTTGCTGAACATGGATTGAGTTTGAAAAAGGTAAGAGGGCAAGGTTATGAACAATGGATTAAAGGCCTTGATCTTGAATGAAAATAGCTCGGCATATTATATCCATTGTTTTGCTCACCAACTTCAATTAGTTGTTGTGGCGGTTGCCAATAAACATGACAAGTTGAGAACTTTTTTAATATGTTAGGAATGGTGATCAATGTGGTGAGTGCTTCTTGCAAGCGTAAAGACATGCTTCGACAAAGTTACAAAGATAGAGTGCAAGAAGCAATTGGTAAGTGTGAAATTGATACTGGAAAAGGAAAATACCAAGAGTTTTCTCTTATACGAGCCGGAGATACACGGTGGGGTTCTCATTACAAAACCATTTTGAGCTTGATTGCTATGTTTCCGAATGTTGTTGAAGTGCTCCGGTATGTTGAAGAGGACGGGGATAATGGTTTTAGTCGCATTCAAGCAACTGGTATTTTAGCATATTTGAAGACATTCGATTTTGTGATTTATTTGCATTTGATGTTTCATATTTTAGAGGTCACAGACTTGTTGTCACAGACTCTTCAAAAAAAGGATCAATATATTTTGGAAGCGGTTTCATTGATAAGAGGAACCAAACAACTATTGCAACAATTTGGAGAAACTGGTTTTGATCCACTTTTGAAGAAAATATATTCTTTTTGTGAAGCAAATGGTATTAAGGCTTTGGATATGTAAGACCGTTATTCAAAAAAGAGAAGACAAAGGACCAACATCACCAATTGTCATTATTACAAGTTTGATATTTTCAACACTGTTGTGGACATGCAAATTCAAGAGTTTGGGGATTGATTTAGTGAGGTAAGTACTGAATTGCTTAAAAATATAGCAGCTTTGAGTCCATGCGATTCATTTTCCCAGTTCAATGTATCAGATTTATTGAAGTTGAGTGAGTTGTATCCTCAAGATTTTAGTCATATGGAAAGGATCGCTCTTGAGAAACAACTGAACATGTACTATTTGATTGTGCGTCAAGATGAAAGATTTGCCAATTAGAGTGGTATTGCCGAGCTCGCTAGACTGCTAGTGGAAACAAAAAAGCATAAGACTTATCCTCTAGTATATCGGTTATTGAAGTTGGCTTTGGTTTTGCCAGTTGCTACTACAACAGTCGAAAGATGTTTTTTTACTATGAAGATTGTGAAGTCAAATTTGCGCAACAAAATCCGTGATGAATTTTTTAATGCTGCAATGATATGTACTATAGAAAAAGAAGCACTTCTCACAGTTTCAAATGATGATGTAATTACTCAATTTTAAAAGATGAAGAGTCGTAGGTCACAGTTAATTATTATTTTATTTTATGTCATGCCCCCTACAATATATTTTTCTGCATCCGCCACTGCCTTTTTGGAGCCCCAAACCTACATGGCATATTTGCCGTCCAAATGAAGCGACTAGCAAAAACAAGGGAAATTGGCATCCGATTGGAGTCATAAAATGACAAATTTACTTTGTCGTCCGATTGGAGATGCTCTTGTTTTACCTCCAACTCCGGCCCATATCGAGACCCACCTCCATATCCGACCAACAGGGAGACTCACCTTCATCTCCAGCCAACACCCGAGACCCGCCTTCGCTCTCTGTCGATGAGTACCCCATCATGGCCCTTCTCCCCCACAACATCACCAACCCGTGAGATGAGTTATTTGAGTTGATGAAGACGATGGGAATCTGTAGATTGATTTTTTATGAGGTTCTGTTCAATGTTATTGATGGGTTATTTCATGATTTTTTGATTTATTAAGTTTTTAGTTCTTCGTGTTGAAGTTGGTTTTATTCATTGTTGCTGATTAAGTTAAAGATGAAAAAGATGGTGGCAATCATGAAGTTGAAGGTAGCCAAAGAAAAAAAGCTCTTACCACCGAACATATGTTGGCACTAAAATAGGAAGTAAAAAAACAATTTTAAGATGATGAAAAAGATTTAGAAAAGGGGGAAAATGACTAACAAAAATAGCAGACTTAATGATAGCTTATACCATTATTATTGTTGAGGTCTTAGGTTCAAGACTTTCTTGCAACAATTTTTTCTAAGTATTTTTTAATAACAATATGACAGGCCTAACATATGAATTGATGCCCCTCGGCTTTCTATGCCCTGGGGCCAACCCACCCACCCCATAGGCCGACCATGAGTCCAAAAGTTGGAACAATTTTATGGAATTTGCCATGCGACCTAAGGTCACAAGTCTATGAACAACTTAGAGATCGTTTATCAAACGTCTATCGGGTCACTTAATATACTATCATCTACTAGATGAAAATGACAATGATTAAGAATCTTACCCGGTAAGGGTGATGCCAATGACTGTAAATCTTACCTGGTAAGTGAGAGTGACGACTTTTATCTAGTAAGCGTTTACACAATGCCATTGATGGACTTGAATCTTACCCGGTAAGGTAAGCCAGAATGGGAACTCTTACCGGATAAGCGTTTGGCTACACGCCCCCTTAATCTTGCGAGCTTATATTGCAATATTGTTGATATGCTCAACATAATTTTTCAAAACTTAGAACCATTTCTCACTCCAAAAATAGTATTATTCTTAATTTATTCCATGAAGTTACAAATAGACAAGACATGGATAACATGGGTTGGACCTTATTTTCAGTTACATGGATACATTATTTGGTTACGACTGTATAAATTATCCACATATCTATTTACCATACCATGTATAGTATTATTGAAGTAAAACATTTTTTTTGTTTGGGGAGTGTTTCAAGTTCCACAAAACAATTTTATGGCTCTCTCGTCGATGTAAACTGGGGATTTGGACATATGATCAACATACTCGAGATGATTGAATGACTTGAATCTTGATGGGTGTTCTTCATCAACAAATTCTTTTGGTATTTCTATTACCCCTTTCTTGAATGTGAATAAACCTATCGAATATCTATCTTCTTGCCCATTCATCATCACCCGGTGAGGAGCACTTCTCAATCGACCATTGCTCCATGCCTAATTACAAAAATATAAAATAAATGTAACATCTTTAACAAATTCTCTAAAAATAATATAAAGACACATTCATATACATTTACTGATTCACTTGATGAATGATGCTCGACAAATATTCTCTTAAAAAAAACTTAAATTTTATGTGAAAGAAAATTGTTTTGCAAAACCCCTCTTGATAATAAAAGATTCCTTTGTAAAATTAATCTATGTTTTTAAATATTTTTCAATTTGTTCTTGGGGAACGTGATAGCAATCTTTGTAATGGAATCGAATTTCTGTTTGTCGTTTACACACAGGATATCAACAATCTGTAATTGTTTTAATATGAAATTTGTTTTTACTTCACACTTTTTCAAAAGGTGTTTTATATAAAATAATTATATGACATTTTTTCGATAAAAATATCTAAGATAACTTATTACGGTATTCAAAAATGTCATATAAACTTATTACAATATCTTCAGATATAATGTTTTATTGTTTTGTTTCTATAAATTTAAGTTTTATAAAACAATTTATTATATGCCTAGAAATTGTTGACGTCTTATAAACTCCATTTTGTAATTGGTGAGTGTCCATTTTTAAAAAATAAGTGTCTATTTTCTTGTTATATACATAAATATGAGTTGGTGAAAGTTTCTTTCTTTATTGTTAAAGATAAAATAGTCATTTAGTTAACTAAAAATGTAATAATTCATATTTTTAAACCTGTATGTTATTTTCTTTGGAAGCATTTTATTTTAAGATCAAAAATAGTCAAGAATTAAACATTGCAAGGAATTCTTTGGTGTTCTGCCAAGAAAGTTGTCGTGTCCTCTCAAATCATTGAATTATGCTTAGACATGAATATTTTTTTTGCTAATTTCATGAATATACTGCCATACCATATGTATTTCATATTGTCATAAAAGAATTGATTTATATGAGATTTTTTAAAATATTCTATAAAATAATTAATACGATATTTTATTTTAAAAATGTCCTAAAATTTGTTAAAAATGCCCAAAAAAACATTCGATAAATATATTGTAACAATTTTAGATATATATAAAACTTTATAATTTGGTCTTATAAACTTATGTTCTATAAATCATTCTATAACGACGCTTAGACATTCAGACGTCCTATTTAAAGCCAATTTTGTTATAACGTCTTAACAAGTTCTCAAAGACACTTGAAGAAAAAAGCGTTAAATTTTTATATGATATTATTCGAAAAAATGTCTTATAACAACAAAGATGCTATAAAAAGATATGTTTACGAAATACTTCTCAAAGTTGTGATATAAAAAACCTAATATGACATTTTATTTCAAGAATGTTGTAAAAAGACCTTGTTAAAAAGACATGATAAAACCTTATTGTAACACTTTCTAATAGATGACATATAGTAATTGTTTGGTTCTATAAACTTAACTTTTATGTAACTGTTTTAGACTTTTTTCGCATTCTATAAACCCAATGTTGTTAAATATTTGTTGCTAATTTCATTTGCGACACTTGTTTTATCAAAAAAATTTAAATTAACAGAGTAGAGAATACGTTAATGTTACCATGAATCCATCAGCTGCCATGACAATAAAGGACGATGGCAAGAATTCAACAGTTACCCACTTGTCATCCCTGGTTAGGACTTCCAACCCGTTCACGTGGTTTTGGCTAAGTATGCTAACGAAGCTCCTGTCCGTATGAATCGCTGTCGTCGCTATATTCGACTCGTTTGTTTTTGCGGGTTTGTATTTATTTACTCTAAGAAGATAGGTCATTGATGATTTGTCATAAGATTCGTAGTATTTCTCTACTCCATAGCTTTGAAACACCATCTGCTTCACCGCGTTTTCTAGTTCAGAGACTAGATTCGCATAGGAGTTTATATTTTCACTGAAAAAAGGGTCCAATAAAGTAGACATATAAATACTTGTCGACAATATGTAACCTAACAAGTTGGACAACTTAATATAATATGATGATATAGAACTTAAATCGTCCTATTTAAGCATCTCCACAACGGCGAACCTTTTTGAGCGAGTTTTGTCAACAAAAAAAGTGGGACACACGTTCAAAAAACTTGTGTGTAACTGCACAAGCAAAAATGTGTTTTTTGTGTTTTATTGAGGTTATTTGACCAATAAGCTTTCAAAAAGCTTTTAAATAAGCTCCATTGTGGATGCTCTTAACACTTTTATGTGACATTTTTTAAAGGTGTCATAATATGTATGAAAGAGAAATATGACATTTTTAAAAAATACCATATAAAAGGGTTAGCAAACGATTTTTTTTGTTCTATGAGTTTGTCTAAATGTATTGATAAAACTTGTTATTTAATTTGTGTTGCATTGGCAAACCTACGAAGGGCCTATAGGCTTTCGTGCATCCGCTCAACCATTTTCGCAAGTAGAAGTTTTTTGGGTATAATCTGAGCACATGCTAAACTTTAAAGGAAAAAAGGATATCAACCAAAAACTGAAAAACAATAAAACAAAAAAACCTTAAAATTCCCTTGAAATCAACCAAAAAACTAAAAAGGTACTCAAAATCAATTAAAAACTCGAAAAGGTCCATTGAAATAAACCCAAAAGCTAAAAGAAACATCTCGAAACAGTGGAATTTGGCAAAAAAAAAAAAAAAAACATAGGCATACACCTAACACGTAGTCTTGCATGCGTCTTGCTTATAAAATCGATTTTCTTTGTAAAAATGTATTTTTCCCCCAAATTGATAGAATTCACTTCTTGAGGATCAGACCATGATGAATTTTCCACAGGGTCAAACCATGATTTTACAGGCTTTTATCCACGTTAAAGGTCTACCCGTTCAACAAAAATCATGGGTCCACCGAGACAAATGCAAGATCCCACCTTAATTAAAGACCAAACCTAACAGTAATTACCTGAAGTGGTGACTTCCAGAAGGCCACATAAGGTTTGCAAAGTGTTGAACATGATCCAAACTTGTAACATTCTCAATTCCCATACTTTCAAAAAGTGGACGAGTATGAGTAGGACCTAAATAGCCAAATAAAGGCGTATCAGAAGTATTCTTGATTTTGGTTTCTGCGGGAAGCTTATACAGGGTTTTTATTGAATCAAAAACTTCCTTGTTCAGTTCTTTAGAAACCCCTTGATATATAGCCATGAAACAACCATACTCTTCAAGAGCATGTGTCACCTCCTGGCATCTCAAGACCCAAGAGTCACTTCCTGGCTTCAAATCGTTCATGTCAATCATAGGAACTTTGGGTTGGGATATAGAAACCATGATTCTTAACTATAGGCTACACAGAGAGAGAGAGAGAGAGAGAGAGAGAGAGAGAGAAATATTTTGAGAGATAGATAGATAGAGAGAATTGTTGTGCTTTTATTGAATTGAGATCCAAAAGAAACAAAACTGTATTCTCTCAATCTCTTGCTGTTATGAAATGTTAGTGAGTGGAAGCTTGTTTCCAGAGACGGCTCAAAAGATAAGGCCATCAAAATCATTTCCTAAGAGCATCTCTAAATATCCAGCAAAAATCCGCAATCTAATTAATATAATGCTCCAACCGTCTGGTTCAATTTGGTGTTGAGGAGAGAAACACTGCATATATCTCTCGTTCACCTCGGTATAGATGAGGGTTCCAATATTAATGTATATTTACTTCCTTTTTAGTAATAACTTGATTATATTAATTATCATTTTTGTTTAAGGGTTGAGTTTCGATGAGAATGAAAGTTATTATGAGAAGGATAAGAAGAAATCTTCATCCTTACATTATTCATAATTAAAGAAAAAAATCACTAGATGAATTCTCTTTCATTCTCACACGATCTTTTTTTTTTGTTTAATTGTGTTCTAATTTTCACTTTCCCATTTTGAGAGAGAAAGAGAGATCTTTTCGGGATATAGAGAGAATTATTGTGATTTTATTAATTCGAGACTTGAAAGAAACAAGAGTATTGTCTCTCAATCTTTTACGATTATGAAATATTAGTGGGTGGAAGCTTGTTTCATGTTGGTTCTACAGCTTTGGTTTCTCGTGTTGTTCTTTTGTTTTTATTGAAATGTTGGCGTTTGATAGAAAAGTAACAGGTGGAGTCAATCAGCAACAACTAGAAATTTTATAGCACTCTTAATGGTGAACATGTTGAGTAATAATTATTAATTACATGGAAACTATTTATTTATAATTATTTCACTATGAGCATCAGTTCTAAAGATTCCGATGTTCAGAGTTGAAAGCCCAAAAAAAGCTCTAATTTATATTAAAAACAAAATATAGTATTAGTTGCTAGTGGTGATCGCAATCAAGGTTAGCATATAAAATTTACGTGAAAAATCTTGAAACAATAGCTTTTCAAGTCTTGATATCTTTCAAACTTGAATTTTTTGCCACTAAGTAAACTTGAATAAAAGAAATTGTGTAATACCAAACAAATCAACTAAAACAAGAATAAATTGAAAATGACATACTGCTAGAAATTGATATCACACCTACCAATGAGGCCTAGGATCACAATAAGCATATGCTCCTATTGTTAAAATATTTGAATGTAGCTTCTTTCCCTATAACTTGCAAAAGGATACAAAAAGTGTAAACGACACAAATGAAAACATTAAATATCATACATTCAAAATAAAACGATGAATATCCAATTAAAATACAAATTAAAAATTAAAATAAATTGTTTGGACGATGCCCAACAAACTAATCCCATTGTAGACCTCCCAGTGGATAATGCAAATGTGTGAACTTTTCGATCAATGCATGCATCTCATCCATCACCTCCCGGCCTCCTCCCGCCTCTTGAACTCTTCAATTGTTTCTTTAATGCTTGAACCTATAAACATAATATTAGAGTTAGACCTCATAATATGAAGGAATACAAATCCAATGATTAGTGGACGAGCTAGCACCGGCTGTAATGATGCTACTACATGACTCCGTCAAAACTGTGACACCCCAAACTCCATATTTGCATATAACATATATATTCATATTAAAGAAATACAGATTACATCACATTGGTCCTACTAGTATAGAGTTTCTATATGTATAGAATTTACAACTGAAAATTCCAAAAGAAAACCCTGAACTATCACATGCATAACTACATGTATCTTCAAAATAACAGATTGATCTTCAAAACACAACAGATTAGCATATAAGAAAATAATCAAATTTTCTCTTTCCCCTTAACATCTCGAGACTCTGCTAGTCCTGCGATGCATATTTAAAACACAAAATAAGGGTTAAATCGGAAGGTTTAGTGAGATAACCCTTTCTTTGCAATTACGGGGTGAAAGATCACCAAAACTTATTTAAAATCAACTTTTCATATAAACAAAATCCTGATCTCTGAAATTTATATCGTGTATAAATACAGAGATATAAAACTCGTCTGGTTCAACTAGTCAGAACTCAGAACTCCCTCAGTTCTTCAAGACCATCGCTCTTCTGGTTCTAAAGACCAGAGCTCTTCTGTGTCCAAGGAATAAAGTTCTTTTTATTAAACATCTTCTCTAGTTTTGTAACACCGGTAATTTTCCCCATTCCCTTCTCCGTTGGCCTCAAGAGTTCTCGCCTCGTCTGTTAGTTTCACGTTTTATTTTTAATAAAACCTTGAGCAAGTTACTTTTTAGTCTTTCAAAAGAGTATATATATATATATATATATATATATTTATACATATATGTGTGTACTTTTTTTTGTGACTGATAGGTATGGTTGAGTTGTGTAAGAAAAGGGGGAGGGGGAGGTAGCTACTACCTCTTCCTTAGGAATGATTCCTCCTCTTACATTTGGGTCCTTACCCATTATTCTCTTGGATGGTAGGAAGTTGGAGAGGGGGCTTTACCCGCTTAAACGAAGAAAAGGGGGGAGGGGGGACTACACAACAAAAAAAAAGGAAGAAAAGAAAAGAAAGAAGAAAGGGGAAGAAGGGTTGTCGCCGTGCTTCGCTAACTACAACAAACAGCAGCAACGAGCAGCAGTTGTTGCTGTCCTGTTTTTTTTCGTTCTCTCGTCCAAGCAGCAACAGCAAGAAAGAAGGGCTGCTGTTCCCCTTCGAATCATTGTCTAACAGCAGCGCTTGCTGCCGGTTTTCCTTCGTCCCCGACTGTCCAACAGCACACAGCAGCGCCTGCTGCCGATTTTACTTCGTTCCCGACTGTCCAACAGCACATAGCAGCGCCGCTGCCGGTTTTTCTTTGTTTCCGATTGCCCAAACAACGCACAGCAACATCAAAGCAGCAAGTAGCAATCGTTTCCTTTGTTCCTTTGTCTCCATTGTGCCAACCAGCAGGTATTTCTCTGCCTAATCGAGCTACCAGCAACTGCAAGCAGCAGTTTCTGCTGTCTTGCTTATTCGTTCGGCTGCCTCACCAAAACGCAGCAGCTACTGCGTTGTTTCTTTACACCTTCTCGACCGGTCAGCAGCCGCTGTCGAAGTTGTTTCATCGCGGCACGCCCTCCAACCCCGCCCCTGGCCCTCGTCGCCTCCGTAATTCGAACCGCACCTGACAGCATCAAACAACGGACAGCAAGCAGCAGTCGCTGCTGTCCCGTTCATTTGTTTTCTGCCTGCTCTGTCGTTGATGCCGTGTTTCGCCAATCTGCAACAACAAACAGCAGCAAAGAGATGGACTGTTGTGCCGTTTCTCTCCTTTTCGATCAACAAGCAGCAGCAGCAGCAAACAGAAACAACAGGCAACAGCCTTGCTGTGCTGTTTCTTTGTTTTCTTTTGCCCAAACAGCAGCTCTGCTGCGCGTCTCTTCGTCCCCTTCCGTCAGCTTTTTAGTTCAGAACTCGGGGTTTCTCCTAAACCCTACATTGTGAGTTCATCTTTACTATATATATATATTGAAATAAAGTACCTTACCTATCCTACGCTCTAATTTACTGCACATACTCCCCTAGGTGGAATGGTTAGTTTTGAGTCAAAAGGGTGAACTTGGGTAATCTCATTACTAAAGGAAAGTCGAGTTTGGGCAAATGACTTTGATCGACGGGTAGGATACTCTTTTCAAGGTGTTGTTGGCATTTGAACTCTAAAAGCTTCGTGCATATAGTTCAGAGTTCTTTATTTGCAAGCAAAGGATATTTTGCTTGAGTTAGGACATACGTGAGACCTTATTGCTATTTAAGTGCTTTTATGATTATGACACCCTATTCATTTATTCTATTAGAATGTATCGAGTCCTAAGGCACGAAGAATCGTTGCATTGTAGTAGTGCGAAGGATGGTGTAAGTTGGACTTTGACATCGTGATTACTATGTAAATTCCAAATCATCTTTTCTCACTCCCACTCGGAAATAGGCATTGTGATTATTATGTAATTTCCGATGTAAAGAGCTTAAGATCACGACCGACTTCATGACTGGTTAGGTTGTTGTCAATGATATTAAACCTACATGTGATGCTCTGTAACGCTGAACTATGACTTACTTTGTGTTCCGTCATAGTTAGCAGCAAATCGGGTCTCCCCCGTCATCTACGAATGTTTAGCTCCACTCTGAGTTATTAGATTTGCATACCCCCCCTTTTTTTTGCAACGTTTGGATTTTCGTCTTGTATTTACATGGATAACCTTATGCATATCTTTTTATTGGCCCTTATGTTTTTTTTTCTTATTTGGACTCACAAGGCGTAGCCTAACACTTCTTCTTGTTATGGCTTGCTTATTAGGTTCCTTTAGCGGTGGGTCTCAAAAGGGTTTAGAGGAGCGTTGGTTCATGAAAGGCTCTTTTGTAGTATAACCTTTGTTACTTTCGAGCGTTACGTTTTTGATGTTCCGGTATTTTTGGAGATTGATAGAAACACCCGTTTTTAATCTAGATATAGTATAATCTAGATTAGTAGGTTGTTAATTATCTTCTCAGTAATTGATTTGTAAACGCTATTCTATTTCCCCTTTTGTTGGGTGAATTTTTTTTTATATTAAGATTTTGGTTCTCGTTATATATATTTTCGGTTAAATTTATAATTATTTTTAGGGGGTTACAAGTTGGTATCAGAGCACTAGTTTAAGCAAACTAGGTAAGGGATCATGACGCCTAGACTTAAGCTGAGATTGTAAGTGTTAACTCTGAGATGTGGGTAGAAACTTTTAGGATAGGAGAGCACTAGGGTCATCGGTGCTACCCCGTTCATGAATTGTGACGATGGTGTTAAGAATTCTTATGTACAACCTATTCAAAATTTCACTTAGCTAATGCTATTTTGAGTAAGGTATTACACAAGCGTGCTTGAACTTACTGTTATTACAAGAATTTATGAAC